TGCTAAGGCGCCAGCCACGTACACCTAAGGTGGCGGGTTCGAATCCCCAGCCCGGGCCCGCCAAACAACAATGATGGCTGCAACCAAAAAATGGCCAAGCGTTGTGGCGGGTGCCTGTGGTCCCAGCTACTTGGGAGGCTGAGGCAAAAGACTCTCTTGAGCCCAGAAGTTGGAGGTTGCTGTGAGTGTGATGCCGTGGCACTCTACCTAGGGGGATAGCTTGAGGCTCCGTCTCAAAAAAAAAAAAAAAAAAAGTGTAGATAATGTGGGGTTTGCTAGACAAATTGACAACAGCCAGGAAATTTGAAATGTAGGGCTTGAAGCTGCTCCGCTGGGATGCCTTTGGTTTGCAAGCTCTCTGGGCTGGCCTGGTTTCAGGGTGTGACGCTGCAGCTCAGGTGTCCTCTCAGTAGACATGAAACAGGTTCTGTGGGCCATGGTGCTTCGCCCAGTATTGATCCGGCATTTGTGAGAATAGGCCCCATCCTTTCTTTTGCCCTTCCTGAGGCCTGATGGGAGTAGGCAGCGGACTCCCCAAAGAAGGTCCCAATAGCTAAGCCCTGGGTCACCCTCTTTTAAAGGAGTCTTCCTTGCAGCGCTTCTCAACCTATGGGTGCGACCCACAGGAACTGTATTAAAGGGTCACAGCATTAGGAAGGTTGAGAACCACTGTGTTAAGCAAAAATAGATGAGTGAGAAAATAAAAGAGGCACACCTCATAAATATCTTGGGGTCTATGTCAGCTCTGGACTTCCTACCTCTAAGAAAAGAAATCTAACTGAGGTCTTTTTTATTTTTTATTTTTTGGCCGGTGCTAGGTTTGAACCCACCACCTCCAGCATATGGGGCTGGTGCCCTACCCTTTTGAGCCACAGGTGCTGCCCCTAACTGAAATCTTAAGCAATTATTTTGATTTTCTTTGTTAGTTGGAGCTGACGTAATTCCTAAGTGACATAGTTGCATACAACAATTTATGTGCTTAAGTTAAAAAAAGGAAAATAAACAAATGAAGGCATTCAAGTCAAGAAGTTGGAAATAGAACAACAAAATGAAATGAAGGAAAGCAGAAGGAAATTCTTAAGCTCAAATTAGAACTCAGTAAAATAGAAAATTAAAGGAAAAAAGCGATTGATAAATCTAAGAGCTGGTTCTTTAGGCAAATAACAATGAAAAAGTATGTACATGTATTCCATTAGTGTAGTCAAGAAATAGGAGAAGCCCAAACTTGAATAATAAAGAGATATAGAAGAAATGAGATGATTTATGCTTTGCAAAGTGTGCAAATGAATTTGAAAATGTGGATCAGATAGTTGATTTTCTTAGAAAATATGCCACCAGACTAACTCCAGAATAGAAAGAAAACTCTAAAAACCTTGTAGAAGTGAAGGATAATGAGACAGCTTTTATCTGTGATCAGTTCTTGCTGCTCCTTTGGGGTCCCCTTTGTTGGAGTTTTTCGGAGTAATGCTTATGTAGAAGTAAATTTCTGCTGGGTGTATATCAGGGCAGGGTGGGTCAGGTGAGTGTCCCATTGGGTGAGCTGTCTGCAGTCATCTGACAATGGTGGCCGCACCCCAGAAGGATGAAGGCAGCTATTCTTGGCAGCAAGACCTGTCGCAAAATAAATAACCCTGAGTTGTCTTCATTTTTATTATTTTTTTTTTAACATTTTTCAGATCAATAGGCTACTTGAACTTTTTGGGGGAGGGCAAAAGACTGAAAAATTTTTTTTTTTTTTTTTTT